AAGGATAATTGTTTTACTCATGTGCTTCTGTGAGCAGTAAAGTCTAGCAAAGGCATTATAGAAATCATCCTTAGATTATGACTCCTGAAATGTTTTTCAAACTTCAGAATGAATGAGAACAGACAGGTGAGGGAAGGAAAGAGGGCAAAGGCAGGAGCAATGGGCAATTCTCACAGAAGCTGCACATAGATTTCTAACAGTTCTGGCTGTGACTGGCAGTGGATCACCATGGTAGGAAAACCTGCTAAGTGTCCTCTAGACACCAATGCAGATGGTGCAGATTACACAGGCCAAATTATTCTCTTTTTCAATTAGTATGAAATACTGACCTTTTCAGAACAGTTTGGGAATAAAAGATGTGACCCATTACTAGCTACTTTCAGCAGTGAGTATGATGTAAAAGGCCCATCACCAAATTAAGGCATTTAAAGACACAAAAAGTATGTTTTGCTGCTTCCCAATATGAAAGATGAATAACATCTTGAAAGTTGGCAACATTTGTGTGAAGTGTTATATTGTACATATCTTCAAACTTTTATAATAATCTTAAACCATAAAGTTTTGCTTTAAGAAAAAATGGAGACTAGTTAAAACCAGTTACAAAGATGGATGAGAATATAAATTACTGGAATAACAAGAACTTTGGTGTAATATAAAAATATTTCCTCAGGTGGGCATGTGAGACCTAGTTTTGTAGAAAAGGATAGAAGCACACTGAAATTAGTAACAGCTGTGAAGCATGTTAAGAACAAAATTATTAATACAATGGATATAAACATTTCTATAAGGATGTTTCCTCTTAAATAAAATTTACCCATAATTAGAAGTGTTGATGTGGCATTTTCTGAAGTAAAACTGTCATTTTGGAGCAACACATAGTAGATAACAAAAATCTTCTAAAACAAACAAACAAAAGAATCCTAAAAACACTTCCCTCACAAATCTCTAATCCTGAAATCCCAAGGCAGAAGATAGATGTGACAACTGTTACCTGTTCTCATAGGCAGCAGTGTTCAGTATTTTCCTGGTGAAACCCTCATTCAACCATTTGTCTTTTATTGCTTCTTTGACTCCAGGCCTCTTAGCAGGGTCGGGCTCAAGTAGAGACTGCATGAAGTGTACAGCTCCTGTGCAGTGTTCCAAGAAAATTACTTGTTTGCCAGTAATATTTCAATATATGACCACTGCATATTTTTTCTGTTTCAGAAATGGGGCACTTGCCCTGCTTCTGCACATTGTAAGAGCTTCAGGCAGAATTCAGACTCTAGAGCTTTTCTTTGAGTCTGCTGTGGTCCTGTAGGGTGACACTTTTCTTCCAAGAACAGGGTGGGCAGCAGTGGCCAAATTATACTGGGATGCCTGTGAGGGACCTTTGAATGCTGCTAGAGATACAGTACTGGATTTCTGTTCCTAATTTTCTTGATTTACCCCAGTGAGTGCAGCCAATGACATCAGCAGTAAACTCAGCATTTTGCTCACTCAACATTTGATCAGGCCTCTGAGAAGGGGCACTTCTGTGCCAGCTGACTGCACAGAAGTAATGTTCCTCACCCAAAGGAGCCAATTGCCTGGATAAAACTCTCTGTAATGAGGGATGGAGATGGACTCCTGTGCTCACATGATGTTTTGTCAATCACTCAGCTCCAACATTGCATAAAGTACCTATTTTTTTTTTTAGATTTTTTTTTTTTTTTTAGTTTTTTTTTTTCTTCTTGGGAAAACTACTGAATTCTTCCATATTCCTTGGGGAAAAGTTTTGAAATGAACAAATGGCAAGTGAGCATTAAACTGGGAAACATACTGCTCCTTTCACTTGTAATCTCCTTCAGAAGAATTTTGATCTAAAGTATGCAAAGCCAGTTTATTACCGCTCTCCCCGCTCTCTCACTGAATTCCCAGTGGGCAAGAGAACAATGGAGTTACCCACAATCTTCCACCGACTGTGTGGGTTTTGTAGAAAAGCAGAGATAATGCATTTATTAGTAGAAGTTATAACAATAACATAAATAAGAAATATAAGAAATAAAATAACTGTAGCTATGGAGACATTCTACAGAAATGAAGCTGCTATCTGGCAACTATCTCCAAAGAAAGAGAAATGAAAGACTAATGCACAGACATTCTTGACAGTGATGGTAGATATCCTTATTCCATTTACTAGAGGAGAGAAAGAAATTGAATCACCACATTATCTTAATTTTCCAGACTAGATCCAGCTAGCTTGGTCTGGAACTGTCTGCTGCTTCCCAGTGCTTGGCTGCAGGCAGCCACTGAAGCTAATCCTGGTTCCTAGGATCATTCTTGCCCAACATCACAGCCATGGTGCTCAAAACCATGGGGAGATCTGAACTCTTGCTGGTAGGCAGCTGGGCAAAACATGTTTCATTCTGCTCTGCCTTCCCACTTGGTCAGTGAAGATAACAGCTGTGAGAAGGGGCCTAGGCCTGTGATGGTCAGCAGAGAGGATGCTACTCCAGGTGGAGAGAAAATAAAGATTAAAGCCAGAGGTATATAAGAATCACTGTAAAGCAGCAGAAGTTTGAACTTTGAGGGAGTAAACCTTGTACTGCTGACTGAGAGTGAATGCACACCAATGTGAATTCTGGGGTTTAAAGCCATGGATTGTAATTCAGGCTAGAATTTTTGAGATCTTTTGCAGTCGTCCTAAAAATACTTCATGGAGTGTACCTCATTAAAGATTGTCAGTAAAATTAAGTGAAAAATGCTAAATTTTGGTTCTTTCTCATGAAAAATATGAACAGACTTCACAAAAATAGCCCTCCCATGACTTTAATAATCTCAGTGTTGTAGGGTCTGTCAGTAGCCAAAAGATAAGGTCTCCAGGAAAAAATATCTAAAGTTTAGGTAACTTATTTGTGGGAAAAACCAGGAAAGAATGCCTGGCTGTGACACACAGCATGGGACATACTAAACATGGCAGTGTTCTCATTTGTTCTCATTTATTACAGAGCTGCTCCACTTATATAAAAGCAATGTAGAATTTATTCCCCCTGTAAATAAGAACCAAGAATAAAGGTCTTTTCAAAAGAAAACAACGTTATTTTTCTTGTTGCCTGAGATAAAGTGATATTGCCACAGCCTCAAAAAAGTTATTTCTAAATGCAAACAAACAACTGTGAAAGGTACATCTTAATTTCCAAAAGGCTGTGTTATGGCTAAATTCACATAATTACATGGGTTAAAACTTTTCTGCATCTGTATTTTTTTATAAAAACTGAAGTGCTTTACCAGGGGATATATCTGATGGAATAGGGCTGATTTCTCCAATTAACATCTTTTGATGTAGTTGCTTGATATTAAAAGGTTCCACCGTGAAGGGTAATGTGCCAGTTAGCATAGCAAAAATGCTCACACCTCTGTCAAAAGACAAGACAAACATCAGAGCTCCATATAATGCTAGTAAACAGTTATTTAAAAATCTCACAAAGCTATGAGTCAGTTTTCAGAGTTGCCTTCAGCATCACAAATGAGGCTACAAATTACCTCTAAACAGAAATTTGTACTGACTACACATCTTATGCCTTTTTTATTTTGTGTAAATGCCATTTTATCTCAAAAAGAATGTTGTGGGAAGTGTGCATAAAATAGAGTGTACAGTGAGTAATGGGAAAGCCTGCAGTGTTGAAAGTGGAGACCTGCTGTTTATTTTAAAAATAAGCTAATTGGAGTGACAGTGTAATGTACCCAGCCCATCAGAATAAAGCATTTTGGTTTGGAGGCTGAGTGACAACATGGAACTGGGACTGATGCAATAGATCTTGTTCCAAATAGTAATTCAGTTCTCTTGCTTTGCTCAGATTGCTAAATTAGGTGTGACTTATGCCTAGAAGGCTTTCATTTGGTAACAGCTTGCTGTTGGCTAAAGACTTAAATCTTTATCTCTTGCAAAAGACTAACAGTGTGCTAGCAGCAATCAGCAAGCTTTGTGAAGGTTTGCCATTCAGTCTGGAAAAGTACCAACATTTGGAAAACTTGCTTAGCTGTACTGAGTTTGTGAACAGGGAGGCTTCCTTGAACCCTCTCCATGGTACTTCCTTGCTCCAGCTGAACTGCACCACCACAACAGAACTGTTCTTCACCATGGAGTGAATCATCGAACCATAGAATGGCCTGGGTCAGAGGAATCTTAAAGATCATGCAGCTCCAATACCTCTGCTGAGTGATATTGAGTGATACCTTTCTCCAGACCAGGTTGCTCAGACCTCCCTCCAACTGTCCTGTATTTTTCTACTGAGCTCAGCAGAGATAATAATTTAAAGAACAATAAAGCGCCTCACTAAGGTATGGGTGAAAGTCTCATAGCTCTGTTGCTCTCTTATAACCATATCTTTGGCCTGTTCCCTGAGACTCAATTTTTCTGTACAGATTTCTTTTTTTTAGGCAAGATACACCTTAGACAGAAAATACCCATTTGTCAGTCCAGGCTTTCAAGGAGTCTGATTTTGACAGAAGTTACTCAACTATCAGCTGAAACTGCCTGCCAGGACAGGAGGGCAGGGGTGTCATTAGAGAGAGTTGTTATGTACAATTCTTTCTCTGACTTTTAAGAACAGGTTCCTACATGCAGATACCCTACCTTCTGCTGGTTTCTCATAGCACAGGGTCTCTCCAGAATAGCATGTGTATTGATCATTCATTTTTTTCCCTCCAGTGTTTTGCAATGGGGGCACATTTCAAGATACTCAGTTTGTTTTTTTTCTGGCGACCCTTCCCTGATATTATTTTCTGATATATATTCCCTGATATTTTTTTTCTGGCAACCCTTCTCTTCTTCTGCCTTTAATGCCCCAAAATTAAATGCCACCAACCCATTTATATCAGTCTTATCTAAACCAATTAATGCTGAGAGTGTTTCAATAAGTACATTTTTAGATCTACTTACATGGACCAGACATCTACCTTTGGACCATATTCCTTATGAGCAAGGAGTTCTGGGGCAGCATAAGCTGGACTTCCACACTGGGTATGTAACAGCTCCTGGGAGAGACCCTCAAACCTTGCAGTATTGCTCAGTCCAAAATCTGATAGTAACAAAGCCAAAGGCAAATAAGTTTTTGTCTCTTTTGAAATTACTTTGACTTTACCAATTATCCGAAAATAGGAGAAAGACAAAACCAGCAGCTAGTTGTAGCATCTAATGATATCTCAGCTGTAGATGCCAATTATGGTTTGAATAAACATGCCATGAATTAGCAGGGGCCTTACAGTGAAGCCATGGACCTGGTTTGGTTGATTTTGGTTTAATTATTTTGGTTTGTCTCTGTTGAGTGCATGAGCTTAACAACAGAGCCACATTAGCATGGCTTAATGAGCTATGGCATTGGGCTCAGCTCTTTGTGCTTTAGCCCATGGTAAATGTGGGGGAAAAGTGCTAATTTAAGCCTTTTTCTCTGTGTATATGCATTTGTGTGACGGGGAGGAAAGAGAAAGGTGTGATTGTAAAGGACCGGCTGGCTATAAAACAGGGGTGAAGAGTTGGTGCCTTTTTTTCTCAGAGGTGTTAAGCTTTTAAAAGTTTGGGAAACACTGGGTTAAACATGTGGCTTCTTTAAGATTTAGTATCCCTTGTGGGGATTTTTCTGTGAAGTTTCTATAGAATAAAATTAATGTTTCTCTGAGCTGTGTTAACTGCTTGGTGCAAATTCTCTCATTTTTATAAATGTTTGCTTCACAGGCCTAGCAAGATTTCTGTTAGTGACCAAAACTTTTTTTTTTAACACATACCAAATGATGAGGTCTCTAGCTGAAGTAATGACTTACCAGAAACTAAAGTGTCCATAACTGTGTTTCACCCCAGAAGATTTATTTCTTTGTCTACAAATCACTTCTGTTAGGAACAGTTTTCTACACATAAAAGCTGTAATTGTTTCTTGGTTCACTATCAGCACACAAGAAAAACAACAGGCAAAATTGTTTTCCTTGTTCTTTTAAAAATATGTTTCAGCCAAACAACAAATAAACAAGATGCTTAGTTATACTTCATAACTTGAATTCACTCTAAAAGCTCAAATATATTTATTGAATAATCACAAGCTCACTCATCAAGTGAGCTGAAGCTGCACACACACACAAAAAAAGCAGAAAACAAGCTTCACAGATAGTAGTGTACCTACCAATGATTTTGATGTTGTTGTTCTCATCAAGAAGAAAATTTTCAATTTTTAGGTCCCTGAAATTAAGACAAAAAACAATGCCTGATTTCCCAGCTAAATATTTGCAGATAGTTTTTGGCAAAAAAAAAAAAACTGTAAAAAAAACTGTAATTAAAATTATAACAATAGTTCTGCAAAACTCTGCCTGCAATTGTAACAAGATCCTTATTCTTTCCTGAAGTTTTCAGTCAGGAAAATGAAAACTATCTGTATTTCAGGGAATATTTTATGAATATATATTTAAAACAAAGTATTGGATTTAGGAAATATGTTCTAATGATTTAGACTTTTTTTAAAATGAATTGCATTTATTTCTTTTGAGTAAAAAGTTGCACATATTGGACCACAGTTATTTTGCCTTTTTGAAGTACCAAGCACTGCTAAATATTTCTGATTTCTTTGCAAGTAAATTGTGCCTGGGAAATGAGAAGGATGAGAGAGGAACTGGAAAGTGAGATTTGCCTTGCTTGTAGAAGAGGGGAGATGTACCAGAGCTGTGTTGGAGATAGCTACCCTGAAAGTGAAGACATCTTCAGTGATGTTTGTGTAAACAGGATCAACCAGTATCAGCCACCCCCCTGCCAGGAGGATGTAATTCAAGCTGCAAGAAAAATGCTGGCTCAGGTACTTGTGTGAACATTTACATATTTCCAAACTAAAAGTGAAAGCCAGAATAATGCCTCACTGTGGGGAGTGCCTGAAGTGGCAACTGAAATATTTGTTATCATGGAGGAGACCTCAGCCAGTGTAGTTTCAGAGTTGGGAGCCAGTTGAAGAGCCTGCGATGCTTTGCTAAATCCTGGATTTCCCTCCCGTCTGCTCTGAAGCTGTGAAGTGCTTTTTTGAGCTCTTGGAGGATACATCAAAAGAAGTGATGGGAACAAGGAACAAAGGCTGGATGGACTGGTGCTATATAAACAGCACTGCATTCCTGCAGGGGATCAAGCCTGGAGGTGGTCAGGATGGGTGGTTTAGGGGAGCATCCTTTTAACTCTGTGGCTCTGGATGGGACAACAGTGCATTCAAAGCCCTGTGCTGCCCCAGGCTGAGAATGGGAGTGGGGATAGTTCTAATGATATCACTTTAATAAGTTTTAATTTGAACGGCATATTCTCTGGAGTGGCAAATTAACCAGTGCCCAAAAGCTGGGAGGTAGATTTAAAGCAAGTTTGTTCATAGCCTGCCCATGTCATAACCCTATGCACTGAAATGCTGTGGTTTAAAACTATTTGTGTTTCAGGCTACTGCAAATCTGACCTTTCTATCAGATTTAGCACCTCACAGTGCACTCTGATGACTTTTACTCACTGCCATTAAATAATGTTATGTTGGATTGCTACAACTGCTGTTCTATAGGCTGAGCTGACTGCTCAGAGAGTTAAAAAAATGCAGATTTTCTTGCCTGATAATGGTCACTATGAAAGTTTACATAATGTCAGAAGTTATCTTACATTAAAGATACATCATGTTCTTTTTTTCCCCCAAAGGAAACTTTCCAAGGAATGTTGTAAATTTTAGCAACACCATGATTTCTTTCCTCCTCATTCCCCTGGGGACTTCTGAGAGAGAGAGCCTAGAGGGCAGCTTGTGATGTTTCTCCAGGACTTTGGTTCAGTAGGGATTCAAAGGGATATGTGACATTTTTATAAGAAGGAAGGGAAAATATCCAGGGCAAACAGCCAGGAAAAATTAGGAACTGTACAAACAAATAAGTTACTGTCACCTCACAAGTGCCAGCTCTAGGGGTTGGTAGGTGACTGCACATGCACTACCTCAATCCAGTTGCAAGGCAGTGGGATTTAGCTTACACAACTTTATTTGAGGTTTGTAAGCTCAGATGCATTACCTCACCACTTGGCCATGTCCAGGGCAGGCATAAGGATAGTAAGCAGAACTTAGCTGATGAGTGTTCGTTTGTGGAGCTGTTGAGCCAGATCTTGTGCCTGAACCTTCTTATATCTGGCACAGAAAAATGCTGGGAATCCATGCTCTGTCTTCTGGGCCATTTGGCGACTGTGAGAAAAGATCAGCCATGCTCTTGCATGGACAAGAAAGGTTACTACCTTTACTCTGAAATGTGAACTCAGTTTAACCTGTAAGGATTTGTTGCATCAGTGCTGATTTAAGTGATGAATTGGAGAAGCAAAGGTTAAGAAACCAAATAGCTATCTGAACACTGTCAAACTTCTGTTGAGATAAACCAACTGAAAACAGCTACACATTTTTATCAAATATATTGTTAAGACAGTAGAAAACATTTTTTTTTCTGAGATACATGTTGGGTTAAAAATCAGGAATGCCCATAAGACACTTTTGAGAAAATTGAATTAAATTAGTACATTCCTAAGTGATGAGCTATGAGATGAGACCCTACAATCAGCAGACACCTCAATTATTGGCATAGACCCAAGCACTGGCCCACAATTATCCATCCCATGAACTCATAACTGGTGTCATTCTACCAGGATCCTCCCCATGGATCAGCAGCTGTTCCCAACAGACAGCTTGGGAACCCTCCTTTCCTTGTGTTAAACCAGTGCAAGGAGTTGAGCTTTTCTTAGTGCTTAGATGGGAAAACCAGACAGGGTTTGTAAGGTAACTTTCCTACTTCTTCACTCATCTTTCTGGAAACATTGATGCCTTCTTTTCAGAAGAGGATACACCCAAAATGATCCTTGTTGGTTTAACCTCTGCAGCGAGTTGCAATAAATCACTGCAGCTGGAGCTGGGTAGGGAAGCCCTTCCAGGTCCTTCCCAATCTGCTCATGGTAAGAGGTCAAGGCCATAGCTCTGAATCTCAAAGCTAGCAGCAAGTCACGAGTTGTAGTACTGCTGACTGAACCTACACCTGTGACTGGGCCCCTGCCAGACCATGGAACTTCATAAAACCTATGACAAAGTGCTGGAGAGCCAGGAATTAATTTTCCTTTAGTAAGGGCAGTTTGATAGTAAATCAAGTCACTAGAGGAACTCACACTACTTTGTACCTGTCTACTCTCAGGATATGCAGCAAAATTCTCTCTCACAATGCTTTTCCAGCAAAGCTTGAACAACAGAAAAAGAAAGAAGTAGGGAAAAAAGTCAGGCTAGTCTCCAGCTCACTGTGAAGAATAATTCCAAACAAAAAGATGGGAACAGGACTTGAGAAATTAATGGTGAATGTCACCATGGGAAGAACATAAATGTTATGATCGTGAGCAGTGAAGAAATGCTGTAAAATAGATTAGCTGGGGAACCAGCAAGTGAGGGATGTCAGCCTGGACTAAATGGGTGAAGCCCCTTGGGTTTGTTTTCTGGGTTTTTTTGTTGTTTTCCATTTAAATACTCTAGGTCAGACACTGACTATTTCTTTCTTGACCATTCCTTGTTAATTGACAAATCCAGTGTAATGAAGTGCTGGATTGCAAGCATTTTGAGTCACAAAGCACTTGTAAATGCTGAGACATCACATTTACAGCGTATTTGTTTCATAGTTGCTGTAACGATGGAGTCAACTGGATTACTTCTTAGGTCCTCTGGGCTTTCTTGGCGAGTCTATTTACCATTTAAAATTAAGAATCTGATTGACTGTGAATCGTTAAGTAAAACAGAAAAATGGTGGGAAAAAACTGTGTCTTGTCTATTCTTCCAGCTAAAATGGAAGTATTTTTCTGCTGCTCTTGGCATATGTGCCAAGATCCCTGATAGAGGGGAAGATCAGCTCTCCTTGAGTGGACTGCTCAGGTTCCTCTAGCAGTGACTGAAGTCATGACCAGTCCTCGTAATGCAGAAGCCAACATGGAGAATCATCAACTTGTCACAGACTCATATCTGCAGGACATGTCCTCCTGACAAGCAGTGGGCTTGGATTTCTGTTCTGAGTGACATATGGTTATTTTAATATGTTGTGGCTAACCAAAGCACAACAATATTTATATGCATAGCCACACTCAAATATTTGAATTAGATACACATTTGTCATGAACTAATTCTGAGATAATTGTGGCAAAGTACTGGTTTGTTGTGCTCATCAGTTCTTGTCCCTGGAATAAGTATCATTTCTACTTTACTGCCCAAGGAGTTCATAGCAACTCATAACAGTACTAACCACTACTGAGAATAAAATGCTTTGTTAATATGAGCTGAGAAAACATAATATTCTTTGTAATCCCTGTTTTTATGATGGAAAAATAAAGAAATGCTCTTGGTGAAGAAAAGTACTCCATGTTCTTGCACACTTCCTTTTTATACTGTTTGAAAGAGGAGAAACATCTTACCTGTGAACAATACCCTGGCAATGCAGGTACTCTACTGCAGACAGAATTTGCCTGGTGTATCTCCTTACTTCTTGTTCCACCAGCCTCTTTTTGTCACAAATTCTGTCCAGGAGGTCCCCACCAAGGCACAGCTCCATCACCATGTAATAGGAGTTGTCAGTCTCCAAGGTCTCATATAGCTGAACAATGTTGGGGTGCTTAATCATCTGGTGTATCCGTGGCTCACGCTTCATGTTTTTTAAAACATAATAATCTTGCTTGGCTTTCCTTTTGTCAATGACTTTTATAGCTACCTAAATGGCAGGATATTTGCAAATTAGCAACAATCTTTGCAACAAGGATTAGTTTTCAGGAGGATATGGAATAAGATGATATGGGGGAGAGGCTTTTTTGGACATGGTGTTGATAATCAGAATCACAGAGGGAGATGTTCCTGATGGAAGAATGTGCTTTTTATTTCTCTTGAAAGCCAAAACAAGAAGACTGAAGTCTGTCATCTCTGCCGCTATAATTGCTTTCATAAAGATGCATATATGAAATATTCTGAAATGCAAAAATCCCTTCATGTTTGATTTGTAACTGCATCTGAAACATACCACATTTTTTTCCTAACATGCTTCCTTCTGACTTAGTCTAAAAGCCATTCCAGATACTGGCTATTATGGGCTAGGCTTGGTCTCTTTGCAGTTTAGGGAGTTAGTCAGACAGTATAGCTACTGAAGCCAAAAGAAAAGTTAAAGTCATGAAGTCACTTGCGAGTAAACCACCTTTCCACACTTGTGTCTAGTGGTGTGTTATTTTAGCCCAACTAAGATATCTGGAGATAACTGATGCCATCCATGTCCTGCCATATAAATATTTGCTGTTGGAAGGGTTGGCAGTGTTGTCCATAACTTTAAAGATCAGACTCATGGCACTAATTGCTCAATGAGTATTAGGCAAAGCAGATCTGAAATTGCCTTTATGCCAGCATCCTTTTCTCTTTCAGCAGGAGGATATCTTTGTTGTCTATATTTTATAAATTGTGAAAATAGTTGCACTCAGTACATATTCACACATGTGATTGATTATACACAATAAACTGAATTTATGAGTTTAATTTATGAGGATAAGGTTCAGAGGATAATTCACTGAGTAGATTGTGGTTTTCAGATTAAACAGTCTGAATTTTTCTGCCGTAAGTTAGTGTGAGGTTACTTGCAATTCCTAGTGCATGCCACCCTCTTCTTACAAGCTTACCTTCTCCCCTGTGGGGATGTGCAGTCCCTCCATCACCTTGGCAAAGGAGCCCTTGTTGATCATTTTGCCTACTAGGTAATTCCCAACTTGTTTGGAGTGAGGGAAAGTCTTCCCAGTCTCTTGGAGCATCTCGGTAAAAAAAGCAGGTATTTTTATATCGTTTAAGTTTTTCTCCCATTCTGGTAATATCTCATCCAAGTTGCCAGTATCTGTCATTTTGTCATCCAAGACTGCTTTTGTTGCCATGAGCATCCCTGGAGAGTTGGACTTACACTGCTGTTTTCCAGATGTAGCTTCTGATTCACAGCAGATCCGGGCATTAGGTCTGAACATCTTGTGGTGCAAGTGCCATCCTGCTGATCACAGAGCAGCTAATCCTTTTCCTCTGAGACTCCAGGTTTGTCAACTGATCCCTAGTTTGTGCACACAGATCTGCTCAAGCAGAACCAAGTGGTGGATTATTAACTTAACCTGATATACGATGCCAGTTAATACCCCAGAGCTGCCAAGTCAGATGACACATTATCCCAGCCTTAGCCTGGAATATAAGGCTCTCTTCCTCCTAAAATAGTTCCCTAAACAGTGCAAGTTGCAAGTTGCAAGTTGCACCAAACTAAACCCAGTCACAATTTTCCTGACACGCATGTGGCTGGTGTGCAAGGACACAGGTTTACTCTAAAAACACTGTGGTAGCATGAATGCAAAGCTGAGTTATGTACCTGATGCTGTGCAAGCATTTATATATTTCCTGTATAAAATATATAACTATTTATGCACTTGTAGCACATTTAAGTACTGGTCTAGGTCTCACAGAGGTCTTTTGTGTTTCATGGGATATAATTATTGTTCTCTGTTCAGTGAAGACTGTGCATATCTGCACAGTGGGTATATGTGTGTGTGAACTTTTTCCTCTGTACAACAATGATGGATTTAAAAAAAAAAAAAAGAGAGAGGCTTTTTCTTTCCTACAGCTGTTGTCTATCTATATCCATCTTCATCACCCAGGTTCTTTCCAAAGTCATGGAGAGAGAAAAGAGCTTTTCCAAAGGGTGCTTTCACATACCAGCAATTTGAGATGGGAGTTGCCATCTCTCTCCACTGACTACAGTGTTTGGGACCCAAAGCCCTTCCCGAACCTAGTGTGATGACAAATCCTTTCTCCACCCTTCATCACTTGAGCTGAAAAATAAACAGCATCCTACTTGCCTGATTTGATTTGTGAAGCTCACTAAGGTTAAAAATTTCCCAGGATGAGTGACAATTAAAAGGATTTTTTTAAAAAAAAGTGTTTATACTCCCAACTTGATTTACGGTATGCTTTGCAGTTCAAGCTGTCCTGAGTGAGTTCAGTGCATTGCCACTTGCACACAGCTGCTTGCAGGAGCAGAGCATACACTTGCCTTTTAGTGTATAACTAAAAGAAAAAGTCCCACTAGGTTGAACAGATCGTCACACTTTGAGATATATCTGTTGCCCTCCTGGAATGGGACTTAGCTCAGCTATTCATTACAGAAAGCCTGAAACAAATGAGACTATTTTTTTTAAGGGAAGAACAAGGAAATTTCCCTGATTTGTGCTTACTACTCTTTCCTGTCTTCCTAAATCGCTATTCCTACTGAAAAAAGGACAATAATGGTGAGGGGAACCACTGATTAGAACAGAAACTCCATATTTCTGGCACATTTCAGAAGAAAGGAAAAAACCTCTTAAAAATATAACAAACATTTAAAACATGATAGCTAGCTAACCTAACTATTGCTGTTTTTGGGGAAAGTCCCAGCCCAACACCTTTAAAAATGTTGAAATCAAAAAGCTTCCAAATACCTTTCAAAGTTTGGGGTTTTTTTTGGCAGAGTGGAGGATTTAAAAATGGGGGGTAGGGCAGAAGGAGTATACAAGAGTCCATCTCTCTGTTAGGGAGTCAATGGATATTGATCACAAGCCAAATGAAGCTGAAATGCTGGATGAGAAGGGAGACACGCTCCAGTGCTAGTTGTGTCTCTGCTCTGTGGTTCAGCTGTTATGTGATGTGCTGCAATGCAATGTGAAAAAAGTGTGAGAAGAGACCAAACAGACCAGATCTCTGACAGAAGAAACGTGCCAGTAAGGAATTATCTCCAACAAGGAGAAGGAAAAAGGAAGGAATGACCTTCTAAAGAAATGACCACAGAAGGAATGACAACCTCAGGGCTTTAATAAAAAAACAGCTTTCCTCCCCAAACAAGCCCTGTGGAGTAACCACCTTGCATTCATTTAGGTGTGTGATGGGAGGGGAAAGAGTTCTGCTTCCTTGAGAAATAAAACAAACCAAAGAAACAAACCTACAGATCTGAGTAAAGGCTACAGTTTTGCTATCAACAAGTGGAAAAAAACCATTTCTATAAACTGGAGACTAGCTCCATTTTTAAGAAGAAAACTTTTGCTTTATCAGTTCATATTTTTACTACCTTCTAGGGAAACTGAAGAGTGTTTCTCATGATACTTGTGCTACTGATCCAAAAAACATGAGGCCATCTAGGTGCAAGAGGCCACTTTATGTTGATGCCAGGCTCGTTAAACAGGCTCATTTGGTTCAGCAGAAATTAAACAGCACAAGCAGGAATGTGTCAGTTTGCAGCCACCATCTTGGATTTCCTCCTGTGAAGCGAAATCCTGCCTGCAGCTCTTTCCAAATATCTTCTTATTTTACATTAGAGATGAGGAAAAGTGGTCCTGGCTTCTTTGCAGGATGGAGCCTTGGCTTGATGAAAGGTTGGGGTTTATTTCTTGGAGGAATTATTTTTGAAGTCTTATTTATACTCTCGTGAATACTGCCAGTTTTGTAAGATCTAGTGTGAGATTTTTCAAAAGGGCCAAAAAGTCAGATTCTTAGAGCTTTGAAGTCCTTCTCAATTGACTCAAGAGTTCCCTCAAAACCTGGACTTTTGGGATTGCAGAACATATGTCCTACCTAGAGATGTGCTTTCTACAGGTACCGAGGCATGCCAGCTTGTGGAGTCTGTGCTGCTGTGCAGGAGTGGTGCTGCAGTGGGCTGGGAAACAAGGTTCATTAGTCAGGGGCCAACATCCTACTGAAGACAGGTCTGGTTAACTGGGAGACAGCATCCTGTTCACAGGATAAAGTCAGCATCTTCTGGATCAACATTGTCATGGAAATGTATCAGCATGTGCAGAACTTTTCCAAGAGTGGAATTTTAATGCACACAAATTCTTTGGTGCTTTGGCAATGCTCCCCACTTCCTTGACTTCGTACTTCCCCACTAACTGGTGCTGTCTGCTGCTTAAGGTATTAATGGTGCTGGCTTAAGTCCTGAGCTTGGCCCACTGTGAAGGGCTTGAAGGTTGTGAATGGTTCATATTTCCATGCAGCTTAGGTTACCTGGCTGTGCTCAGCAGCTCCTTCTAATACTGAAAGTTTTTCAGATTTCGTGCTAAGAAGTGGGGATTTCCTTTACTGAGAAGGAAATCCAAGATGGTGGCACCTAAATGTGGTGAATGGAGCAAATAAGGGGGAAAAATTGGTTTGAAGACTTGGTAGGAGAAATTTAATCTAAACAGCAACCACACAGTCTCTATCATAGTAACTCTTAGATCCTGGAACCACTTCAGACTGTGTTTTATAATGTACCAAAGATATGCCCTTATAGCACTGTAACACCTGCCATATTGTAAGTTATTTCTGACTTCTTATACACTTTTTGGCAGCCATGGAGTTTACTTTAGAAGTTACTGCATGTGCAAGTTCAGCAGCTTTTCTGCAGGATTTACTTATTGCCATGTGTTAAGGA